TTTATTTTTTATTTTTATTTTTATTTTTATTACATTAAAAGACACTTGCGGTACAAAGATATCGCTGAGATAAACTACTACTTTGGAGTATGCTCCTGGAGCAAAACCCCTCGTGTGTATCGGCCTTTAACACCGCGCCGTCGACTTTTGCACCCTTCTGAGGGGCCGTCGACTTGCATGTACCTGCTTCAGTTGACAGTTGAGAGTCGATTTTTGGACTTAAGGAAGCTCAAAGCAGTTTCCAGCACTCCTGTTTTGATGGTGCGTTATAACCACTCTTTACCACTTGATGCTAAAATCATGTATCAAAAAACTGCCCAATCATTGGTGAATAAGTTGTTATCATTTTCGGGACATAATAGGTTACCAAAGCAACAGTATGACCTACTAAAAACACCCTTAATTACAGCTTTAGAGGCTTATAATTCAAAAACGGCACGGTTATTATTTTTTTATTTTATCAAATTTTAGTAAGTATGATAAGACGAAACTTTTGGCAAAGTTTTAAAAAAATCTGTACAAATGGATCGGAGCCACCTTACATTTTCAAAACTTTAAGGTGGCTCTGAACCATAGGTATAGAATTGTTTTAAAACTTTGCCAAAAGTTGCGTTTTATCGTGGTTATTAAAATTTGATAAAATAAAAAAATTCACTGTGCCGTTTTTGAATTATAAACCTCTAAAGCTGTAATTAAGTGTGTTTTTAGCAGGTTATACGGTAACCTATTGTGTCACGAAAATGATAACAACGTGTTCACCAGTGATTGGGCAGCTTTTTGATACCATGACTGTAGCATCAAGTGATAAAGAGTGGTAATAATGACCTATCAAAATCTAACTGCTGGAAGCAGCTTTGAGCCACCTTATAAAAGCGGGGCATTTTTGACTAAAAGCAAAACTACCTGCATTTTAATAAACTTGACTTCATAAGGGGAGAACAGAACGCAACAAATAAAGGAGTTTTTCACCTGCAGGTGCGATGGCGACACATGTAGTTAAAGCTGGCTAAAGAGGGGGAATAGTAAGCATACATGACGTATACGGTAGGAGGAAATGGAATGCCCTTGCCCAGTGAATGATCGTTGTTTGAAAGTATGAAGGCCTTAAATTCCACGCCTTGCACCGCCAGTCCTAGTTCGCTGTCCCAAATAGTGTAGTTAGAAATCAAAAACGCAAATAGGGCAAAGAAAAGGCTAAAATTTTTTAACAGAAAAGGCAAAGTTCCATGGGACGTCAACGACGGAGGGGGAGGCGGAGGGGGAAGGTGGGGGTCTGACCTAAAGATCCACTTGACTTTAAGCGGTGAGTTAATGTCGACAGCCCCCTATCCTGAGCCAAACATTTTCCCGTCCTGCTCTCCAATCCAAATAATAATTCCCCCCCCTGATATACAATCCACTGACTTTTCTCTTTCAATTATCTCTTTTTAAAAAAATATTATGGAATGAGATTTAAATGAATTTATCCACTCAGAAACTGTTTCATTAGAAACATTTCACGAAACAAATTACCTTCTGTGTGGTTAGGTTTCTATTCAAGACGGCTGTTTTCAGGTTTACATTTAGTTCTTTGTGGAGAAGGTGATGGAGGTACGTTTGATTATTATTTAGCTTTACTTAGGTGTGTGAGATTGTTACAAATATAGCTGCCATGATTTTCATGAAGTATTAAGAACTATTTATGGACCATCAATCCATCATGTTTGAAAATCCTTTTTGTTTTTAAAAAAGTACTTAAGATATCGATTTCCGGTAGGACTAAGATGAAATGGTTTTAGTAAGTAACAGTTTGCAAGCCGAAACAGATCAAAAATTCCTTTTTTGGATGTGGTAGTCCAGCAATACTTGCATGGCATACCCTGATCAGCTCACTTTATTTCATGTTTTTGTTCCCGTATAGCGTCGTTCTCAGCCATCTCTCGATGAGGAGTCGTGGAGACGACAATACCAGTTGGAAAATGAAGATAATGCCTTGGCCAGGGCGCTGGAGCTTTCGCGATTAGAACATCTGCAACGCACAGAGAAAGTAAGTTAAATATATTGTTAATTTTTTTTTTCTTCACCATTAGTCGCCAGTTTCTTGGATAATGCAGCAGCTTAGTTGAATGATCAACATTTATTATGCGGAAGTCTGAGAGTGGTTTTACCTATTTGTAGAGGGGGCTGCATTATGTTACAGTTTAGACAGAAAAGCGGACAGAATAAATTATTTTATTTTACTCAAAGTCTGCTTGTAGTTTTGCTTTGTGTGTAGGTAAACAAGAGGGTTATTGGATTTGTTGGTAGCTCCTGTCAATGCATGAAGCAGGAATGTCTACTTTGAAGGCGTTACGATACTGGTTAAGCTAGGATGTAGAGGCTGAATCATCGTGATACGTGGTTACAATCCCCAATGTGACATGATTGTTAATGAGTAGGTCGAGTAGGCAGTTACAACACAACTAAATGTGGCACAATTGATTACAGAGGCTCCAAAAATGTGGTAATTTATTGAAGATGGAACTCATGTACATCCTCTGTTACAGGAATCTCGAATGCAACGTGATGAACCGACACGAGGTGAGGAACCATTATCGAAATCATGCTCGTTGTCACCTGCGAATGTACAGAGACAGCAACAAGACAGAGAGGAGACTCAGCTTTTGCGAAACTCTTCTAGAGGTTTGTTAACGTATCCCGCAATAATGGGCTTCTTTGCAGGAAATTGCCTTATGAGTCCTTGTTGGGTCTGTGACGTTGGAACGAATTAGGTACTAGCAGAAGTGTAATAATGTAAACAATCCCTGAATGCCAACGCGCAGAAATGATTGTCCGAGTTCGTACACTAACTATGACAATCATTTCTTGTAAAAAGACAATATAGGAGAACCAAATCACAGGGAAGGAATTAGAAAACATCATGAACTACCCTGATAGAATTTTCTTCATCTTGAGTTTAGAACCATGCGGTCATGCGTACGCCTGTCGGCTTTGGTTGACTTGTACATGTATAGTATTGTCCGATTAACTACGCCTTTGTAGGACAAAAATGACGCGGTTTATCAATTCTGTTTTTATTGGTTCGTTTGTATTATACACGGCCGTTTGGTACAGTGCAACATTTTTTGAAAGTATTTGTGGCATCTTGTCAAAAGGATTGCATCAAAAGTATAACTTAGACGTTGATTTCAATATTCAGAGTCAATCTTTCAGGTCTGAAACTTGGATGGCAAACGATGTGTTTTGGGCTGAAATAGGGTTAAGCCTGGAACTGGGAGTCTGCCCATGTAAAATTCCAAGGAGCACTCCGCCGGCCGCGGGGGAACAACACGTCACTCCTAAGTAGCAGTCTACAATAATACTATGCTTACGCTCGTTGCTATGTCAATTGCAACGACCATTATTATGCTCACGCGCTCTGCATGCTATCAACCTCTGTGACGACAAAAATACCCTGAATTACATCGTGCACGTGCGTACCACTACGTCTTTGAAGTTCAGAAAATATGTGCTAAACAATCACTGGTCTAATAAACAAACAATCGCCGAATATTTATTATTTACCTGTGGAAAAGGGAGACAGCTGATTGCTAACAACTGACAAAATATATACGTTACTTTGCGCAACCTTGTCGATAATTACATAACATTTGCAAGTATTTCTCAGTGTTAGCTTTGACTCATTCATATCTGGATATGTAGTGAAATGATTAAAAACTCATCAAGCAGTGCCACTCATTAAAAAAAAGGTTCACCTAAGGTTGAGGAATGTTCCTCCAAATATATGTTTGGAAACCTTGATTAACCAAGGTAATTATAAGGCTTAACACACGGACAAAATATCTTTGGCTTTGCATCGTCAGGGGCTGTGACTGCAGGTTCAGCAGGTCAAGGGGTAAGAGCCATTCCGCTTTGTCTTCCAAACAACTGCAAGTGGGATTCCAAGACATTACAATGCGTCCGAACTGGAGAGAAACGCTCATCACTTTACGTGGTCGATGAAGCACTTGAAAGGCTGAGGAACGAGAAAGGTATTTATTAAGTCAATGATTGAAAGAAGAAGTTATCTGCTACTACATTGCAAACAGCTAAAGTGCAGTATGGTTACCACAAGCCACTCTTCCTCTCCCACCCCCCGAAAATCCCACTGAAACGGCGTTTTGACAAACGTGCTCCCATTGTTTATTATCAGATTTTCACCGCTATGAGTAGATTAATACCTTGTGGTTCACCTCTTTACGTTTGAATTTGGGGGACCGTGTATCCGCGGTTCAGAGGGTCTGCAAAGTACAACTGCTCAAGTTAATGCCAATTTTTTTGGCCGACTCCAGACTGAGCTACATGTACGTAGACTGGATTGCAACGCAACGTAACAAAAAGTGGGGCAAACTTTATCATTAGCAATCGTCACCTTCCTATTTTTTCCTTTTAAATAGGTCCTGTTTGTGTAGTGTCCGTTGTTGGCCCATACAGAAAGGGAAAGTCCTACATCTTAAGCGAAGCCTTTAACCAACCTGAGGTTTTCCCACTTGGACATGAAATGGTGGCCGAGACCATGGGAATCTGGTTATGGATTGTACCTGAAAAGTATAAGGTGGGCAATTCAAACGTTACATCAGTCCCAAGGAGCTTTTTAGACGTGGTAGCCCATGTTACTTTGCCAAGTCCTGAAGGCTCTTATGGTATTCACTAATTTTCAGGATTCCAGAGGAAATGAATTCACAGTAGTGCTACTGGACTCCGAAGGAATTGATGCCGCAGACAGTGAAAGCCGTGATGATAATCAGATATTTACATTAACCGTCCTTTTGGCTTCGGTGCTCATTTACAACTCTCAAGGTGTCCCGACAAAGCATGATCTCGAGGGACTGGAGTATCCTTTCTACATTGCGAATATAACATATATAGACAACTTCAAATACCACAAGGTTATTATTTTTGGCAGGAGAAACAAGAAGCCGGGAATATATTTTCCCCACTAGCCACTTGGGTACTGAGCGGCTGATCGAGTTTTGTATTCCAAGGTTCTGAATTCCAACGTATACTGCTGCTGCATCCCCGATTCGGGGATTTAGCGATAAACTCACAGATGTCTCGAATAAAAAATGTCCCTTGGGTTTGCTGCCCTCTATCTACTAGCCTCACCACAGTAAGTTGCCATGCAGGCCTTTATCCAGATGGATGTCCAGGCGTCCTGTGGACGGCCACTTTTTAAAGAAAATTGTTTTATTTTTTATATGTTGCCTTATAAATTGTTCATTTAAGCAGACCCTATAGCACATTTTGGACGTCCACGTTTCCAATCCTGGCTAAAAGCCTGTTTCCATGTATCCAGCGTGGTTGCCTCGATGGTGTGGTGGATTTCACTCCCGACTAGTATGAGAGGAGACGCAGGTTCGGTACCTACTCGGGTCACCAAGTTTTTCTTTCATTTCAGAGACGTGCGTCGAAAGCCGCCTGTGATAAGTTGTTTACATTTATCTATCATTATAAGTTCTTTGGTAAAAGCAGTATTGGTTACACAAGTAACCCATATAAAGATCAGTGTTGGTTTTCTTTAACGCTGGCTTAAGTTTTATAGTGAAGTTGTCTCAACGGATCCAGATTCGATCTAACAATGGACGAACCGTTGGTGCAAAAGAAACTGAGTTCTTTCACAAAACATTTCCTTTCTTCATTTGGTTGTTAAGGGATGTGACACAGTTCATTCCGCGTGACTGCAGAGACATCAAAGACTACTTCTTAAAGAAGGTTAGACTCCAAATATCAAATCACGGTATAGCAAGCGATACATTCTTGAAAATCTAGATCTATGAATTGGTTAATAGCCTTGTTAACTACGATTGTTCGAATCAAGGCGCCAAACCTGGTAATATCCGGTTGTTCTTTTTTTTTTATTACTGTAAACCTCGAGTAATGCGTTTCTAACTCTCTGATTGGTTCAATGAGTCT